CTTGGTACTTCCCTCTAACCTCTCCTGACATCACATAGAGAAAGCAGCACCCCACAAGACTGCCCCCCAAGAGTGTTTGGCACCCTTTATTTCAGTCTGCTTCGAAATTACACTTGCAATCACAGTCTAAAATACATTAATAAACAACCAACCAACCAACAGATTGGAGTAAATACATTACAATAAAAACAACGGGAGCAAAAGTAAGTAAATTCCAACAGAAATCTGTCCAGGTAGGGACTCTATAAAATCTGGGTAAAGACTAAAGGACTGGGTCTTATTATTAGACAGAGCCATCCACTAAAACCCAAGGGATCATGTGAACATGGCTACAGCTGTACAAGAAGCAGAGTCCAAGTCAGATCTCAGCTGCTTGCTGAAATTAGAAGGGTGAAGGTCAAACAAGCAAAGGCAACAAACCAGATACTAGAAGCTGTAACCATATCTGCAAGCAGATTTCAGGACTGTTCAGATTAAAAGTACCACAGGTCAGGTTATCTGAAGCTTTTATGTTTGCACATTCTGAAAATGCTATGCATATATTCAAGCTAATTGGCAGTTAAGTGTTCATTCATACCTACCTTAATTGGGTGTGACACCAGAACCAAACGCTTTGTTTTAGCCCTTTAGAATTTCAAATGGTGCAGAAGTATGAAACCCACTGCTCCTCTTCCAAGAAAAGATGGACCATTGCCTAATCATCCCATGATTACAGAATTTGCACCTACTCCCCTCTCAGCCACTTTGCTGATCATTATTTGTCTAAGAGTCATTCCAAACACCATACATCTGACTAACAGCGTCTAAATTAATGGCTATTCTAAGAGCGCTCTGACAGTTTTACACTAGTATGCTGGCAAAATACTCCCGCTGGGGACCTAGTATGTCCCCAAGTTTGTGTTGCTACTAGAACCTACAGCCAGATAGCGAATTATAGCAGGACTGGAACAGTCTACCAGTAGAAACTGCACCTACATTTAATGGCTAAGAACTCCAACAACATTGATGCTGAGGGGTGGTCAAAGTTTTCATACTGCTGACTAATCACTACCTGTGAAAGCAACATTCTAGTCTGAACGTCTCCCAGATACTCCACTTTCTACTGATGTATCTCAGGACATATTCTGTGTTATACTACAGATATGAAGACCTGAGAATTAAAAATCTTCAAACATTACTCCGCAGGAATTGCTAACTTCACTATTTATCTGAAGAAGATAGAGAGACCTTGGTCCACAATCAAGAAAACTCCAGTGCTGGCTTCACAAACAATTGGCTCCAGAAGAAATAAATTTTTAATTAAATGTGGAAACTTTGCCTGGCACTTTCAAGTGAAATCTTTGAACTGCCACATCTAACTACATGTTAGTTTCAATGTACATACATATGCCTTAGAATGGAAGAGTTTATCTTATTCTTCAGTGGAAAATACAAGTGACAAGAAGTGCGTACTGGAGGCTCTGCACTGTTTGCCTGAACTTAGACTAAAAGCAAGTTGTGGGAGCGTAGCCCTCTACTTTTTCATTGTTATTCCTACCTTCATGACCTGTTGTATAAAAATTCATAGGTAAAGATGGTTTTGGTTTGTGAAAAACTTGTAACCAGAAGATTACAAGAAAACATCATGACATTGTAGGTCACTTTAATGATATACACAAAATATATGTGTACTTTTCAATAACAATAAAACAATACTTGAAAATAAACATAAAAACCCAGGAAGTTCTGAGACTCAGGTGGAATTTCTAGAATATAACACCCATAATACTTCAATTCTTCCCAAAGAGAAGACTGCCTAACATGTTCCTAGCTTTATGCTTGGGTCATAAAAAAACCCCAGCAAAGGTGACTTTAAATTAATTTCTCACATCATTTTTACTAACTTACATTCTCTCTTTTTCTATTTAAATTGAAGACAGCTTACATAGTGTTTTGATACATACTTTCTTTTTTTAGTTACAGAATAATCTTCTAGAATTTGTTTCTAATTTACTGTGTTAATACAAGTGTACCAAAAGTAAGGAATCTACGCCAAATTAATTGTTTATATTAGTCATTTGATTTAGGACGCAAAGTACCTAATGCAACAACTGGAAGGATAAAAACCCCCAAATTCGCTAAAAGCATAATAGTTCTGACAGTACATATTATGGACAACAAATAAGAGCTGATAGCTAGTCTGAGTGCTTCAGCTTTAAGCCAAATCTAAATGGCCACTGAAGTTCAGATTAGGAAAAAGATTAAACGCTTGGTGCTGGCTTTATTTGTTTATTAAATCAGTACAACCTTGTTAAAATTGAATCCTGTATCCCACTCTTAGTCACCTGTCCATCATGAATGCCCCAATCCTTAAGCCTGGAAAGAATAATTTTATCTAAGCCTGGACTCACAGCCAGATTTAAACGCCTGGTCTGGCAGCACCCTTCTAGATTTCCAAATCAGCATGTGAGATCTCCTAAATGTTCCTTGCAACTCTCAGTCATTTTCACTATAAACCTTCGGAACTGGTTTCACAGAGGCTACGGACGTTCAAGGCTTTACCTCCCCTAGGACAACACTGTGGGGAAAGAAGGAACACAGGGGGAGAAATTTCCTACCCATGTGCTATTACACCAGAAGTACCTAAGAGTTCCTCAGTCTTCGTACATTTTCCTCCTGCACATTGTAAATTTGGAATTTGGCATGCTTCACCATAATTTTATTTACTTACTTATCCTCTCCCCATCCCTTCACCCTCCTGCACCTTTCCTGCGTGACTGGCATCCTCGGGCAGCCCCGCTGCTGTGCCCAGCAAGGCCCCAGTCACACACGGACAGCCCCGGGGGAGAAACCCATCCCTCCATGCAGCCTGGTCCCTGCCTCCCGCCTCGAATTAGCCCTATAGAAAGTTAATTAGAGGCTTTCAAAACTGAGAAAGATTACACTTTGAGCTGGTTCGAGTAACCAGGAATAGTCAGCTGAAGACCTTCAACAAGTCTTGATCAGTTAAAAGTCATCTTTCAGTCGCAGGGCGGGCATCTGGAAAACGCTTTATAGCCACCGATACTTAAGACATGCAAGGCACATAATGCAGATTCAAAGCAGACAGATATATCCCACTTTGCTACTGACTTTCCAGACGTACCCCATCTCTTGGAAACATGAAAGAATATTGAATTACAAAGACGTTTTGCGTGGAAGGATTTCCTGAGTTGGCTGGCGAGGGCTCCATCGGTCTGCGTATTCAAGTTTCTCCCCAAGATTTATAACTAAAGTAACGTTTGAGAAACTCATCTGCCAACGAGGAGGAAGAAAAACCTGGACGTCGATGCGTGGATGCTGCTCTTCCTCCCCCCCCC